GGCCGGTCGAGTGGGACGGATGGGGGATTTTTCAAAGTCACTGGAGTGGCTGAATTTATCAGGGCTCAGGGCTCACAGGCCAGTGATGGAGGAGGAAGGCAAAGCACATATATCCACACACTGGCATAGGCGTGGGAAACCGAGGAACACAGACAGATACACACAGACACACAGAGAAACAGACAGGAACACACAGAGAGAATGAAGTGATCTGATCTAACACATCCACTCTGCCCCCAGCTCTCCAGTGCCCCCCCCCCCCCCAGTCCAGGGGAACAAGCCTACACAAAATATAAGAAAATACAGGAAAACTGCTCCGCCCTGGGATGCCTCGCTGGCCTTTTTTTGTAAATAAGCATTTGAATGTGTTTTGTTCTAAACTGCAAGGCCAGCACAAAGGAGCTTTCTCATGCAGGAAGGTCCTAGGCAGGGCCCTCCCTCCGCCTCCCCTCCGCCCTCCCCTCCAGCCCCCTGCCCACCAGCTGGGGCGGCTTCCAGCCTCAGCCCCAGTCGGGGTCCCTCCTGTTTAAAAGAGTCCTAAGAACACCTTGACTTCCCCCAGGTGAACTGCAGGCTGAGATAACCTTAGGCTTCCCTTTCTTCAACGGATTACTTGATTGAGCAAGAGAGAATGGGGCGGAGCAGGGAGCTGCAAGTGCAAGGCTAGGCCTTAACCAAGCACCTCAACCCACATCAGCTTCCCAGGGTGAGAAGTTTGCTCCTCTCCAAGCTTGGCACCAAGTCAGGGAACCGGGCTTCTCCCCCACCTCTGTGTGTGGGTCCCCAGTCAGTGGCTGTTAGAGGGCTCCTTGTCACTCACAGGCCTCCTACTGAAGGTGGGAGTGAGGCTGTCCAGGGTGGCTGCAGGAAGGGGTGGGGTGGGGAGGGCCTGGTTCTCTGAAAGTGTTCTTTTCCCTCCCTGGGCCATTCTGGGCTCCAGGCATTAAAGCCTCCTCTCTCGCCTCTGGAAATGGGTAAGTGACGCGTAATTTACGAGCACATCAGCCCAAAGTGCATAAGTCAGCCTTGCACAAAGCAGCCGGGTAAATATTTAAAGATTAGAGCCAGCTGGGGAGAGGCACAAAAGGCGGGACAATGGGGGTCTCTCGGAATTCACTCTCCCAGGGCCGGGCCAGCCGGGTGCAGTGCTGATGCACTCGCCGCAGTCCCAGCCTTTGTCCCCTGGAGGACCCTTGGCGGCCGAGCTATTGGAGTCCCCACCCAGCTAAAGAGAGTTAAACAATCGCGGCCTCTCCAACCCCATCCGGAGACAATCGGCTGAGTCATTCCCGGGCTTTCGCTGTGTCCCCACAGTTAATTACATGGAGCAATCACCCCATCCCGCTTTGAAATGCATCTGCGAGGGGGCGGGCCGTTCCCCCACCAAAGGGGCCTTTGCAACACTCTCCAGTGAGCGCGGCCTAACGTGCCTGGGGCCGCAGGAAGGAAGGGGCTCCCGCCAGGGGGGAGGCTGCCCAGGGCTAAAGGGCTCTTGTCCCCGAAGCCTGAAACCCCTCCCCACCTCGTGTCCTGACCCGACTCCGTCTGCAATTTATTTATTTATTTATTTATTTATTTATTTATTTATTTATTTATTTATTTATTTATTTTTGTTGTTGTTGCCAAAGTCAAGAAACAGCCTGGCTGGCATGGATCAGTGGTTGAGTGTTGACTTCTGACCCAAGAGGTCACAGTTCGATTCCTGCTCAGGGCATGTGCCCAGTTTGTGGGCTCCATTCCCAGTGGGGGGCTTGCAGGAGGCAGCTCATCCACGATTCTCTGCGTCGTTGATGTTTCTCTCCCTCTCTGGAATCAATACAAATATTTTTTTCAAGGCAATTCAATGAGCTTACAAATATACTTTTTATAAAAGTCAAGAAAGCCAAAGGGGAGAAGGGAGGGCAACGACGCAGTTATTCTCCGCCTTAACCGCCCAGCGTGAGGAAGCAGGGCCCCGAGAGGTTCTGGGAGCCCCCAGCGCCCTCCCGAGCGACAGAAGGAACTGGTTCCGTGAATGAACAGGGGCAGCCTCGGCCTCCCTGGCTCTGGGCCTGGACTTGTGCTCCTTTCCAGGCGCCCTGGGGACCCCAGACCCTAAAGATGGAAGAGGCTGGTGGCCTACATCCCAGCCTGCAGAAGCGCGGCCTGAGTTGGTCCATGCCCTTCGCTCGGTCCTGAGTGCAGTCTGAGAGGACTCGGGGTGAACCCTTGCGCACCGCCCCCTCGGAAAACGCCTCCCTGGCCCCTGCGCGCCTCGGGGGCCAGGCCTGCCCGGGTGTGCGTAGGGCGACCAGAAGCCGCCTGGCCCACAGCAGGGGAGACGGGCGGAATGGCGTCCCCAGCCTGGGTGTCGGGAGGGACCTTGGTGGACTCATTTAGGATCCTCTCCACGGACGTCGCCTTTAACCTAGAGGGGGAAGTGGTCGCCCAGGAGGAGCCGAATTGGGGTCAAGTGGGGAAGGGGTGGGGGACGCTGTCCATGAGCGCGGGAAGGGAGCCCTGAGCCTAGGGGAGGGGGAGCTGGGAAAGTAGATGGGGCATCAGCCCAGGCGGGAGGACCCCGGCGAGAGGACGTGCGGAGGGTGGGGGTAGGGGGGTGGGGCCGCGGAGGCTCGGGAAGGGGCGGGGGCGGGCCTCCAGGCTGAGACCCCCGCCCGCCGGCCTCGCCCCGGCAGCCAGAGCAGAACATGGCGAATTAAAGCGTTTTGCGGTCCATCTTGCGCCGCTTAAGAAACACTGAGCCGCCCACGTGAGCGGCCCCACCCTGCGCGGCCGGGGTCCTCGCGCAGCAGCTGGAGAGGAGAGCGGGTCCGGGGGCCGCGGGGGCCCCTTTACGGGGCCCTAACTCTGGAGAGGGGCGGCCCGCGCTCCCGCTGCGGCCGGAGGACCCGCCGAGCGCCATTGGTTTGCTAATGCGCCGGAGTTGAAAGGCGCGGGCGGCGGTCCCCGGGGAGGGGTCGTAATTAGAGGACAAATTGCCCGCGGCCCGCGCGGCCCGAGGGCGGCGGCAAGTGGGGGGCGGGGGGCGGGGCGCCAGGGCGGGGCGCGCGCCCCGTGTCGGTGCAGATGTGCAGCAGCTGGAAGCCTGCGCGCGACGGGGCGCCCCGAGTTCGGCCCCGAGGGGGCGCGGCTTCGTGGGCCGGCACAAAGCCCTGAACACTCCGCTGCCCCCTTTGTGCCCGCGGCGCCGCCCGCCCGCCCCGCGGCGCCCTGGACCGCGCCGTCCCCGCCCCCGCCCCCCCCCCCCCCCGCCGGAGCGCGCGGGAGGCGGCTCGGGCCCGGCGAACCCGGCGCTTCAAAGCCGCCCGGCGCGTGCCAGCGCCCTCCGGCCGGCCTGGCCCCGCCGCTCGCCCGGGCCCGGCCCGGATCTGGCCCGTGGTCCCTGCGGCCCGGGCGGAGGAGGAGCCTGGAGCCGCTGGAGCCGCAGCTTCCGCCTGAAAGGAAGGCGGGGAGCCGTTCTCCTCGCCGCTCGGCGCCTGGGCACGAGGCTGTCCGGGCCGGGCCTTCAATACCTCCGGGCGGGGCGGGGCGGGAGGGGAGAGAGGCCCCGCTGGAGGGAGCTGGGGGCCCACCCAGACCTAGCCATTCCCTCCCCCCCGGCGGAGCCCTGCACAGGCCACGCTGCTCATTCCTCTGCCGCGGGCTCCACTGCGGAACCCCAGCGCACAGACACTGAAACTGAGGCTGAGTCCAGGGAAGGGAGCTGCGTGAGTTCGAACCCAGTGTCTCCCCCGACCTCAGCCTTCTTGTCAGCCACAGCCGCTGCGGTCCTGCTCCTGGGGCCACACCCAGGCCTGAGCTCAGGGAAGAAGGTCCTCCTTCCCTGAGCCCCGTGGTGTCCAGCTCCAGCCGGAATGATGAGAAGAGGTTGGGGTCCCAGACCTGCAAAAGCCGCAATGACGCTCCCCCAGGTGGTCGGTGGTCTTCCCACCCCCACCTACCCTCTGGGAGCCAGCGGCGGTGGGAATAAGACCCCAGGCCTTCCCCTGCGGGAGAGGTTCTCAGAGCCTGAGTCCGCCCCACAGCCCTCACACCCAGCCGGCTCGGAGGCTGTTCTGCCTGCCGGCCTGAGGCTGCAGCAGGCCCACCTCCCCAGGGAAGAGCGCGGTTCCTCACGGCCGGAGGGCACTCAGCCCGGGCACGCCCAGGCCCCAGGCCTCAGGCCCGGCGAGTGGGAGGCTGTGGCCCTGCGGGCGGGCTGCACGCTTTAATGGGACACATGTCCCTGTGTGGCCCCCGCGGGCCCGGCCTGCGCCCGGCTTTGAGTGGCCACAGGCAGAAAATTGCTGCATTGTCCCGACATTAGGGCCACTAATGTGCGTGGCCAGCACGGCCAGAGCGTGAAGCTGCTGGAAGCCTGGCGGGCGGGTGCTCCCAGCCTCGCATCTTCATCAGCTCTTCACCAGGCCCGAGGCCGGGGCTCTGTCATAATCGCTAGCGGGGCTCAGAGCTGGCTGGGCCCGTGCACCCCCAGTGGGACCCCAAGAACACTCAGAGGCAAGAGCAGCAAGGACGAGGCAGGTGGGCCTGGTGGCGGGGCCCAGAACTTTGGGACACTGGGAGGGGACAGTCATGGGGGAATGGGCCTGGAGGGGATCCCAGACTCAGGAAGTGGTGGGGTGAGAGGGATAAGGTAAAGACTGGGGAAGGGGAGGGGGGTTGCTGGGGAGGGAGGAGGGGCCCTGGGGCAGAGCTGAAGCCTGGGCGGCAGGAGGGGTCGGGCAGAGGGAGGTGGGGAATTCACTGTGTGTCCCCCTCTCCTCCCCTCCCCCTCAGGGGTCCTGGAGCCCAGGATCCCTCATTGACATGTAAACGAGGGACCCCTATAAAGGCTTGGCCGCTTCCCGCGGGCACGTACACGACAACATGGGCACTGAGCCCGGGACCCAGGGCAGCTCTGGGGGCCCTGCGGGCAGATTCCGAAAGGTCCGGGGTGCTGAAGAGTTCGTGGGTGGGGGGGGCCCTGCCCGCCGGCGGGGGCAAAGGGCGAGAGGGCCGTGACGCCGCCCTCTAACAGCCTCTTGTCCACAGATCTCCAAGCCACTGATGGAGAAGAAGCGACGTGCGCGCATCAACGTGTCGCTGGAGCAGCTCCGGTCGTTGCTGGAGAAGCACTATTCGCACCAGGTGAGTCCGGGCGCAGTGGTGGGTGGTGCAATCCATTCCTCGCCTCTCCCCACCGCGGGCTCCCGGCTGAGAGCCCTTCCCACCAACCGCAGATCCGGAAACGCAAGTTGGAGAAGGCAGACATCCTGGAGCTGAGCGTCAAGTACATGAAAAGCCTCCAGAGCTCGGTGCAAGGTAGAGGGGGCCCTGGGAGGTTTTGGGGGGGAGGAGCCCTGCATACACACAGATAACTGAGGGATGGATGGAGAAAAAGGCACAGGACTGGGCAGCCGGGCGAGGCGGGGCCCAGGCCACTGGAGGCGGGAGGCAGCAAGGGCGGCGGGCTGTGAAGTAGTAATCCGAGTGGAAGAGGGTCTGGACGTCCAGGTGGCCTCGCCTCCCTCCCCTCCCCTCCCTTCTTCTCTTCCTTCCCCCTCCACGCTTCTCCCCTCCCTTTCTCCCTCTTCTCTACAACTCTCCCTTTCTCTTCTCCTCTTCCCCTGTCCCCAGGGCTCTGGCCCGTCCGCAGCGGCGCCGAGTACCCGTCGGGCTTCCGCGGCTGTCTGCCGGGCGTTGGCCAGCTTCGGCGGCGCGGAGAGGGCGGCGGCGGCGCCGGGCTGCGCTGCCCGCTGGTGCCCGAGCGCACGGTGGGCAGCACCATGGACAGCGCCAGTCCCCGCCCGGAGGCGCCCACGCGCTGCGGCCCCTGCGCCCCCGCCATTTGGGCCCCTAATCCGGGCGCCAGCGGCTCGCGGTGCCCGCCAGCCAGGCTCCTTCTCCCTGGCGGTCTCCCCGGCCCGTCCACCCACGTCCCGGCACCGCAGCCGGCGTCTCGTCACGGCGCCGAGAGCCCGGGGTCAGGGATGCGCCTGTGGCGGCCCTGGTAAGGCCCAGGCGTGGCCTCGGGCTCAAGGGGTCCCCCGTCTGGTCTGCCGGCGCAGAGACAGTTTGCAGCGCGCCCGTGTGACGACCGGGACCTCAAACGTCCGGGGAGGGTGGCCCGGAGGGTGCCGCGTGCCGAGAACGCAATGAAACACGCGTAGCCTCGGTGGGCCCGGGCCCGAGCCTTTAGGCAGAAGCCACCCCCAACCCCAGCCTCACCTACTCAGGCAGGACCCGCTCTCTGCTCCTCCCACCCGAGGGGGCTGGGAGGGGTGTCCTGGGCCGCGCCCCTTGCCCAGGGCCCCGGCGGCAGCCCGCCCCCGCCCCCGCCCCCGCCCCGTGGCCGAGCCGCGGTGGGAAGGTCGCAGCCGGCTGCGGCGCAGAGCAGACCCCTCGCAGCGAGGAGAATCGCTGCCCCGCCCCGGCCCATTCAGCCGGCTAGGGACGCCCGGTTCCCACCGGCGCAAAGCACGCCGGGCTCGCCCCGAGGGCGAGGGGCCCCAGCAACCCCCACCCTGAGCCTTCTCTGCTTCCACGGATCCCCACCCCCTCGGCACGCAGCGCGGCACCCCCGCCGCGGGCGCGCGTTCCCAGGGCCGCGCGGGTGAGCAGCCCAGCCCGCAGCCGCCCCGCAGCCGCCCGCAGCCCACTCAAAGCTCCGCCTCGCGCTGCGAGATGCTCTCCCACCTCCCCGCCCACCCGACGCCCCGCCCGCGCGGCTCCAGGGGAACCAGCGCACTGTCGCGCCTGTGTGGGGGGGGCTGGAAGGAAGCCGAGCTCGTCCCGTGGGAGTGTCCCCTTTCCCACTCGGCAAAGACCCCGGCTCCGCAGAGTCCCCGTCTAGAAGCCCACGTCCTTCGACAGCCCTCGGAGGGCTGGGCACCTGTTTCGGAGGCCCCAGCACGCGAGGGGGAGCCTGGGGGTGGGGGACGGGGGTCTCGGGCTGTGCCCAGGAAGAGACTTTGACACCTCCTCTCACCAGTTTGAAATGCAGAATAAAGAAAGTGCGAACCTGAGAAATGGGTTCTCATTTATCCCACGCGGCCCACTTAAGCGCGTCTCTTTGAACTACAAATACCAACTTTGTATAAAACTCTTCTCGTTCTTGGCCGCCCCTGCCTTGCTCATGTGCTAAAAACCCATACAGATCAGATCGCGGGGAGAGCGCAGCCGGGTCTCCGGAGCGAAGGTGGGGGCGGGGGTCCGGGCAGTAGCGATTTGGGGGCGGCCTGTCTGTCGGGTCTCTGGTTCCCACAGTCCTAGATGTGGCTGGTGACCCTAATACCCCTTCCGGACACCAGGTGGCGACCTCGCACCGCAGACTCAGGAAGCGGCTTTCAAACCCCAACCCGGGCCAGGGGCATGGTCACGGGCACAACCGGTCCCGCCGCCCTGGCTCCAAACTGCCCTGCCCTTGTCGCCCTCCTGAACCAGCCTTACGAAGGCTTTCGGCCCCTAAGCCATCACCAGGGCAGGGACTGCTCTTGATATCAGGGCCTTGGTGCCCACCCCGCTGCTCCAGGCCCCTGACACTCTGTGCCATCGCACGTGCCAGTCAAAAAGGGCGAGCCCAGCCCCCAAGAATGCCGCACTAGTAGAGGCATTGGAGAGACACATCTGGGGGCAGGTGGCCAGGGGTGCTGTTAGATTCTAGAAAGGTGTTTCCATGAAACCAGCATAGAAATGCCAGGTGCAAATCACAGGAGGTTTTATTGGGTCTGTACAGAGAGAAATGCTTAGTTGTCAAAAAAACCCAAAAAGAAACAAAACAAAAAAAACTATGAACGGATCCCTGGCTTTGGGCTGGGGGTGGGTATGAAGACAGAACCCCGCCCCGCTAAGCCCAGGGTCAGGCTGCTATCAACGCAGCAAATGGGCCTGGGGGCCACACAGAGTGTGAGAGGGTCCAGGCCCCAGGGCCCTCCGCTTGGGGTCCTGTCTCTTCTAATTTTGTAAAAACCAGGACTAGAGAGACTCTGGGGTGCCATGTCCCCCTGTAAGTATTGCCGCTGGATAGGAAAGTAAAAACCCCAAGGTGACAAATGGGCCAGCCTGAGGGGGGGCGGGGGGCGGTGGCTAGCTGATCACCTCATGACGGGTCAGTCCTGGAAGGCACAGCAGTACTGACCGGGCTGGACAGCAGTCCCCTGCCTTGCTCACCCGTGGCCAGCTCATCCCCCAAGGTTACCCCACAGCCAGGGGCTGCGGGGGCCTCTGAGGCAGAGATGGAGCCAGGCAGTCCCTCCTCCTCCCTCCTCCCTCCTCCCAGTGGCCTAGTCTGGGGCTGGGACCAGTCTGGGGTGTGCGGAGGGAGGTCTGGCCACAGGAGGGGCAGGGGCAGGGTGGGAGGGGATGTGAGCAGGCAGGCTCCGCGCTGGCCCCGGGCCTGGTCCAGGCTGCATGTGTCGGGGCCACTGCATGAAGGCTGGGGCGGGGACCAGACAGCCTCTGCACTTGCCCGTCTGCCACTCAAGGTCACAGCTGCTCCTGGGCCTCTCCTGAGCCTGTGCCTAGGGGCTTCTCCTACAGAAGACCCAGCAGGCCCTTCCCCAGGGCCCATGCCAAAGCCCAGGCCTGCAAGGGGTCTGCCAGGAGGGAGAGCAAAGAAGAGCCCTGTCCAGGTGGGGAGAGGGGGGAACCCTGTCAGAACCTGGGAGGCTGTGGGCCACACCTGTAGGGCGGGGATGGGGCAGGGGGGGCAGAGTAAGAAAGCCCACTCTCCTTCGCTCCAGTCCTTCCCACCGGGGACCCACGGCCTCCGTGGTGGTAGTCACAGAGCCGGCCACCGTGTGGGGACAGGCGGTGAGGACGTAACAGTGGCAAGGTGGGGGTGGTGCCAACCGCGAGGATGTGTGAGTTGTGCTTTAGTAGGGGTGTGTGTGGTGAGTTCCCAAGGGGCTAGGGGCCAGGGGCAGAGAGCAGGAGGCCTCAGGCCTGGGGCCGCGGAGGGCCTGAGACTACCTCTCCCGCCCTGTCCGCTCCGTGGTCAGAGCACTGGGACCAGCACTTGTTCAGTCCTGAGTTACCCTGGTCGCCTGCCTCACAGATGGGGACGCAGAGGCAGGACGGTCGGCAGGGAGGCTGCTCTGAGCTTGCTTGGGCTCCGAAGACCCTGTGCTTAGACCTCTGCGCCCCACCGCAGAGGCGGGACGGGTTAGTGCCGGGTGGAGCGGGGCTCTGTTTCGTCTGGGGGTGGCCTGTCCTGGGGCTCCCCGTCTGGAAGCGCTGGGCGCGTGCAGGGCCTCCTTTACCCAAGCCCAGACCAAGTGCCCCGCACAGTCGTCCAGGGCAGCTGTCGCCCTCGGGCAATGCCCGCATCACGGGGACAAGGCTTCGCCCCTTCGCCCCGAGGGCTGGCCCTGCCCCGAGCTGGGGGGCAGCGGGCATCTTTGGTGCTTTGGCCCAGGGGCGGCCCTAGGTCGCGGAGCCCAGCGAGTCCGAGGGCAGCGTGACGTAGCCCGAGGACTCGGACGGCGAGCTCAGGAAGCTGCTGGTGCTGCCGCCGCCGCCCGCCACGTGCAGGCCCGCGGGCTCGCCCCACGACGCGCTCAGGCCCGGCAGCGGGGGCCGGACGTGCGCATGCGCGGCCGGGTGCGGCCCGGGACTCCGCCGCGCGCCGGGGCCGCCAGGGGGCGCCGCGTCCTCGCCGAGCGGGGCGGGGGCCGGGGCGTCGGGGGCCGGCGGGGCGGGCGGGCGGCGCAGGGCCTGCGGCTCCCGCTCGAAGGCGGTCAGCGCAAAGGCGTCGGGCAGCCGCGAGGCCGAGGCCGAGCGGGCGCCGGGCCCGGGGCGGCGGCGCGGGCTGCCGGGGGGCGAGCTGCGAGCGCGGCGCGGGCCGCCGTCCAGCCCCGGGCGGCGCAGCGGCAGCAGGCTCTCGGCGGAGCGGCGGCGCGGGCGGAACGGGGGCGCGTCCTCCGCGGGGGCCCGCGGGCCGTCGCGGCGCCGGTGGGGCCCAGCGGCCTGCACCAGGGCGGCCAGGTTCTCGCCGGAGCCCCAGCGCGGCAGGAAGGCGGGCAGCGGCACCACGGCCCAGAGGTCCGCATCTTCGTGCGAGAAGCGTCGCGTGGGCGGGACCTGTGGGGACCAACCGGTTAGCCCGGGGGCCGCCTAGCCAATAGGGACCCACGCGGGGCAGGGCGCCTTGCGGATCAGCAACGACCCACACCAGGTGTCAATCCCTCCGTCCGAGGCTCAGCGTCACCTGTGCCTTGGGTAGTGAGGGGACCCCTTGATTGAGGCGCTGAGCCCCAAGGAAATACCAAGCGCCAGGTGCACACTCTCCCGGAGCACAGGGCGACGGGGGCAGGGCTGGGACGCCCACCTGCACAGGTCCGCCCCTGGGCTGCCCATCTGGGAGGTGAAGCCCCCCTGAGCTGGCAGGCAGGAGATGCGCTCAGAGGGGAGAGGCCCCTGGATCGGACAGGATGCCCCGCCCGCACCTTGGGAGCCCGCCCCGCCCCGCCCCTACCTGCAGGTACTGCATCTTGTCCTCCTGCAAGGGCCCCAGCGGGTAGAGATGGGGCAGGGCCCCCTCCAGGGGCAGCTCGTAGTTGGCCATCCTGTCCAGGGCCACAAAGTCGCCCCCACAGCTGTAGTCCAGGGAGCGCTCCAGCACCAGGTCCTGGGGCAGGCCCCCCTCCAGGCTGGTGTCTGCAGGTTGGGGCAGAGGCTTAGGGTCAGGGGTCAGGGAAGACTGGGGGCATCTGAGAGCTAGTCCAGGGTCCCCCACAGGCACGCACAGGGCCGAGGGCTGGTTAGTGGGGAAGAGGAAGGGCAGGGTCCTGGGTACCGATCCTGATTCCCCACCTTCCAGCTTCGGGGCTGGGGAGCCAGTTTCCTTGTCGGTGGGGGTGTGACCTCAGGAGCTAAGTACACACAGGGGCTGACATTGCCTGGCACATAGCAAGCTCTTGGCTGAGGATAACATTGCTATTGCCGGGGAGACAGGCCCTGGGTCTGCGGGAGCTGCTGGGCACCCCTGAGGTTGGAAGCTCAGAGCACATAGTCTGGGGCACAGCCCTGCCTGGGGCAGGAGTGGGACAGAGAATGCCCCCTGGGAGGGACACTGAGGTCCCTTAGGGGTTCGAGCGCATTTGGGAGTAATCCAGGGGGTGTTTGGGGTTGACGGTGGGACCTCAGTGCCATGGGGTGGCCACCTTACAGTTGTTATCACAGTGACTCCAGTGACCTCACCCAGATGCCCCCTCCTCGGGGGCCACTCTCGGGGTAGCCTCACCATCGCCCGAATCCTCGTCGTTGGCCATGAGCGCGGTGCACTTCTCCCAGACGGCTTTGAGGTCGGCGCGGTAGCGGTCGCACGCCCAGAGGAAGATGGGCAGCAGCAGGGCCTGGGCCACGGAGCACCACAGCACGCACAGCACCATCCAGGGTGCCGAGGCGTCTGCCCGCAGGCTGCTGAAGCTCACCACCTGTGGGCACAGCGCTCGCCTGGCACCGGCAGGACTCTCCACCGCGTCCCCTCCCAGGCTGGCCTCCCGTCTGGGTGGCATGGCTGTGCCCATCTGCCCGAGGAAGGGGGTGGCAGAGACAGAGCGCTAGACTCTGGGGCAGGGAAGAGGCAGAGAGTGAGGGTGGAAGTCCCTGCCCCTGAGAGCTGCTGGCTGCCAAGGTACCCAGTCACTGCCCAGTGTGCCTGGCCCCTCACTGTGTGCCAGCAGCCCTGGGCGTGCCTGCCCGCACGTTACCCTCGGACTGCCCGAGGACAGGGCGGGGCCTGGGTTCCCACCCCCTTTCTGGGAAGAGGAAACGGGCTTGCAGAACCACGTTTCCAGCCTCCCAGTGCAGGGACCATTCTGTCCTGCTCACTTCTGTCGTGGCCTCCTCGGCCCTGTCCTGCTTGGGGGGCTAGGCCTCAGGCCCCAGAGGACGAGAACAGAGCAGTTTCGGAGGCTCAGAGGGTTGGGATGTAGGGACAAGGACCAGCCAGGTGGCCTTTGGGTCACTGCCCAGGGTGCCTCCTTCCTCCACTCCCACCCCCCACCCAGAGTGACTGTTCCCCACCAGAGAGGGAGAGGCACAGTGCAGACTCACGCTGGTTCTGCCACGCGAGCTGCGTGCCCCTCAGAAAGGCACTGAACCTCTCTGGGACTCAGTTCTTCATCTGTGAAACTGGCAAGAACACCCTATTGGGTGAGGCAAAGCTTCCAGGCATTGTACCAGGCCTGCAGCATGGAGTGGGCTCCATAAATGGCACCCCCTTCCCTGCCCTGAAGAGAAGCTGGGGGTACAATTTCATACACACTCCTTCCCTCCCTCAGCACAGGGACGGGGACCCCAGGCTCTGCTGAGCACAGGAGGACCCCATCCCTGGGGGGGGGGGGGAGCGTGCTGGGCCCACTGAAGGTGGAGCTGCAGGTGGCTGGAGACTGCACCCTGACTGTGAGGCTGCCACCCACCTGTCACCTTCTTGAGCTGTGTCTACAGGGCACAGCCCCACCCAGTGACTTGGGCGAGCCCTCTGGCTGGTCCTTGTCCCTGTCCTGCTCCAGACCCTTCAGGGGGCGGGGCTAGAGGCCCACGGTGGGGAGGCCCAGCCCGGCCTCACGGGCGAGACCCCAGTTGGCTTCTATGGAACTTGAACTCTGTTGGCAGAGCCTTCCTCTGGCCAGACCTCACCGTGACCTTCCTCAGCCCCTGGGGTGAAGTCCAACTCCCCAGCAGACATCCAAAGCCTGCCTGGCCCCCCAGTGTAGGACCAAAGCCTCACTCCGCACATCCTCGGACCTGGAGCCGTGACCCCACTTTCATGCCTGCTGCGCCCACTGGGCCTCACTCAGGTGGGAAAGTCACCTGTGATGTGGCAGGAAGACCCTGGGCCCAGGAGGCCCCTGAGGTGGTTCAAGTCCCACCACGGCCGTCCTGACTTTGGCTTCAGTCCTGTCCCTCTCTGAACCTCGTTTTCCAAGCCTTTAAAGTGAGGATGGGGATGATGCCCCCCGCTTAGAGGATTGGGTGTGAGGATCCAAGCACCTAATGCCCGCAGCGCCCCTGCCCCAGAGCCCCCCACAACCACGGGCTCACCCACCAGCACGGGGAAGCCCATGAGGCAGTCGTAGATGAAGACAATGGTGGCCACCAGGCCCGTGATCTGCAGCGAGGTCTTGGCGGGCTCGGAGCCCTCGATGGAGGAGCGGCGCTTGCCCTGCGCGTCCTCTACCACGATGGTGGGCACCGTGAAGGCCCGGCGGCCCGCCCGTGCGGCCAGCGTCTGGAAGAGGGCGATGGCTGTGCACACGGCGCCCATGGCCACGCTGCCCCCCACCAGCAGCAGGAAGCAGACGCCGAAGCCCAGGCCGATCTCGGCCGCGATGAAGCGGCAGCCGTGGGCGTAGAAGCGCTCGCTCGTGTCGTGCCAGCCGACGGCAGGCAGGGCCGACAGGGTGAAGGACACCATCCAGATGCCCATGACCGTGTGCACCGCCTGCTTCTTGGCGTTGCTCAGCCTGACACGGGAGGGGGCGGGACAGAGGGACGCCACGTCACTCACCGGGCCTCCGGGAACCAGACACCGGTGCACGCGCCCGCGAGGGGCTCACCTGTAGTTCACGGGCCAGCGGACCATCCACATGCGGTGGTAGGACAGGGAGGTGACGGAGAAGCAGGTGGCCAGGGTGAGGGTGTAGAAGGTGGACACGAAGACCTTGCAGAGGCCCTCGTTCCACTCGTAGCCCGGGCGCTGCCGCCGCAGCTGCACCACGGCGTAGGTGGCGATGGGCACCGCCACGTTGAGCATGTGCGTGGCCGCCAGCGTGCACAGCAGGAACTCCAGCGGCTTCCACTTCTTCTGCTTGGCGCCCACGCTGAGGATGCCCCAGGCGTTGGCCAGCAGGGAGAGGCCCCCGCACGCCAGCCAGCCCACGGCGCTGCCAGGCGGCCGCTGCTCCTCACTCATGGTGCAGGCGGGAGCGGGCGGGCGGCCGGGGCATCCTCCTCGCAGCCAGGCCTCGGCTCAGAGCAGCTGCCCTCACACCCAGCGGCCCGGGGACACCAGGGACCAGGAGCATCTGCGGGGGTGGGTGGGTGGGGGACAGTGAGGCTCAGCGGCTCTCCCTGTGGCTGCGGCATCAGGGTCCTGGGGAGGAGATGGGAGGCGCCCCCAGGTGCCATCACCTGTTGGTCCAGCTTGGGCTGCTCTCCTCTCCTCTCTGTGGCTTCCTGCCCGTGTCCCCGGCCCCAGGGGACTACACAGAGGTGCCTGATAAGTGCCCGTTTCCTCACTTCCAGCCGCTCCTGGTGAAGGGAGGAATCTGGCTTCCTCCCAGCCATCTGTGCCCTCAGGGAACCAGCAGGCTGGCTCAGGAGGGCATTCTTGCCCCATGTGTGCCCGGGCCCTGGCTGGCAACAAGCCCTCTCGCCAGCAAACGTCCCCAGGTCCCAGGGTAGCCCTGGCAAGGTTCCCGCAGCGCACGCCGGGGCCTCGCCGCCATTTGTCCCCTTCATTTGGCAAAACGAGGATGTGCCTGGGAGGCTGAGTCCCCTAAACCCCCCATGCGAGGGAGGGGTGACCTGCTGACCACTTCCATGGCCACCCTGGGGAAGGGCTGCCTGTGCTGCCCGGGTCTGCCCCCAGCTGGCCCAGAAGGCCCCGCACTGCACAGGCTCCGCGTCCCAGCTGCGCGGTCCCAGTGAGGTCCCTGCTCACGCCCTACACCTAACGGGACAAGACTTCCTCCGGGGGAGGCTGGGTGGGCACGTCTTACACACGGTGGCGCTCTGGGTGGTGGGCAGTGTCACGTCACAGACGCCCTGACCCAAGAGGAACCGCCGACGGCCTGGATGTGAGCCAGGAGAAAGGATGGTGGCAGGAGGCAGGGCAGGAGGCACGTGTCGGGAGGCGCCGCATCTGCTGGAGGGCTGGGCAGAGGTCCCTCCCGCCCCCTCTCCAGCCCACAGCCCTCAACTGCCAGCCCGTAGGGAGTGCCGCCCCACAGGCCCCTCTGGCCACAGCCTGGAGCAGGCAGCGCAGGGAGAAGCAGCCGCTCCGTGAAGGCCCACTGTGTGCTCTGCCTACACTTGGTCCTTTCTCACCGGGGAGCCTGTTGAAGCTCATTGGCTGCACTTCTGGCCCGACACCCACGGGTGCCTACTGTTCCCGACACATCACGTGACCCCCAGGGACTGGTTCCAGCTTGGGAGGGACAGGCCACTGCAGGACCCCAGTCGGGCTCAGGGCAGAGGACACACCCCCAGCAGCCAGGCCCCATGCTTGTCTGGTCCCAGGTTCTTCTGGTCTGTCTGTGGCCTGAGCCCCGGACCCTGAGGGACCTGAGGGATGTGTCTCATTCATCACGGTGTCTCTGGGGGCCTGCCCAGAGCCCTGGCCCGGGGGGCGGGGCGGGGGGAGTCCATTGGAACACACCCCAGGGGGCTCAGGGACTTCTGGGGCCGGGACTTCCTTCTCCACATGAGGCATCTGCGTGCAGCATGGCCTCCCCTTCCCCATCCCAGACCCAGTGTGGGAGGCGGTGGCCTGTCGGCCCCTCCACCCCACTACTCCGGTGTCCAGCAAACCTCCCTGACCTCAGCACGCAGAGGCCACAGTGTGAGAGACCGGCTGCCAGACTCCAGCGCCAGCTCCCCACCAGCTACTTCCCTCCGCCAGGCCTCTGTCTTCTCATCTGTAAGCTGGGCATGACAGTCCCTGCCTGGAAAAGCCTTGTGGGAAGTCAGTGAGCTATGCAGGGAAGTGCTTAGCGTGGAGCCGGACACAGTAAGCGCTCAATAGGCGCTTGCCATGCAGACGGCTGCACCAAAGCCCCCCAGCTCGCTGCGCTGCCCTTTGGGGCTAAGACACTGAGTGTGGCGGTGTGGGTGACCCTGACCTGCAGGCGGACACGCCGACTCCCTGACAGCACTTGGGACAGCCCAGCTTTGGGGGTGACGTGGCCACAGGCTGCCCCCAGCCCCCATGGGGTGCCTGGCAGCCTGCTGGGGGCCCAGAGCAGGCAGAGTGTGGGTGCTCCCGTGGTCCAGAGGCTGCAGTCACCAGTGATCCTCGTCATCAGATAGGAAACTGGATCCAACATGCAGCGGGTGGACCAGCACTCTTTCCCATCTGCACGGGGCTGCGCTGCGGGCCAATGGGAGGCCTTCCCTGAGGTGTCCACACAGCTCTGTCTGACCCTGGGGCCCTGGTGAGGGGGTGGGGAAGGAGCCACAGTCTCCCACTGGCACACCCCTTCACGTGCCAGGGGATGCCTTGTCTGGCGTAAGGGTGCCTCGCTGCAGGGCAGGGCTCTTCGTCTGCAGGCAGGGGAACATGCCCTGTGGGTGGAGGGAGGAGTTATGTTCCTGGGAACAGGCACACTCCACCCTCTGAGCATCTCCAGTGATTTTGTGCGCTGACAATGTCATCATCCCCATTTTAAAGATGGTCAAACAGAGGCAGAAAAAGGTAAAACCATTTGCCCAAGTTATGTGCCTGAGCGAGGATTCAAACTCAGTTTGCCTGACATAACAATCCTAGCTTCTCGGACCTGGCCGGGTGGCTCAGTTGGGTAGAGCCTCGTCCGGATACACCAAGGTTGCAGGTTCTACCTCCGGTCAGGGCGCATACAAGAAGCAACAGTGAAAGCACAAAGAAGTGGAACAACAAATCCACGGTTTTCTCTCTCCCTGCCTCCCTCTCTAAAATTAAAAAAACAAAAACATCCTGATCCCTCAAACCCCAAAATGCTCGAGAACAAGTCACTATTATTATTATTATTATTATTTATTCCTCAAGTTAAGATGGCTTTCCTGAGCCTCCTACTTCTGCAGGGTGGGCCCTCCTGTGCCCATACTGAAGAGGGGAACACTGAGGCTTGCAGCCCAGGGCAAAACAGGGAGGGAAGAGTGAGGGCCGGTTTGGGGCCCAGGACTCCTGGGCATGGCGGCCCTGGGATGGGAGATGAATGGCACGGGGTAGGGTGGGCGTGTGTACCAAGATCTCCGGATTCAGAGTGACAGGGGGCTGGCTCTGTGGGGAGAGGGAGTCCCCTTCCTCCAGGTGGTGACCCACAGATCACACCCCTTCTTCACGAACAGGGGACACTTGGGGCCCCTCCACTGGGGTCCGCACCCAGGGCTGGGAAGTTTCTCCTGCATCACAGCCAACGCATCCCCACAGCGTTTCCGGATGGAGCTCCCCGCCTGCGCCCCCTTAGCTAAGGGCAGGCTGCAGATGCGCAGGCCTGGGACCCACAGCCCAGAAGACTCCCTCCGAAGGGTCTGCGGGGCGGGCCCGGCGTGACGTCACGCCCCCCGGCCAATGAGGCCGCAGGGCCCCCGGGCTGGATTGCGCAACAAAGAAGACCTAGAACTTGAAAGGATTCCCCGGGCCGGCGGCCGCCCTCGGACTGCGCCCCGCCTGCGCCGCCTCCGATCCGCCCGCAGGGCCGGCCTGGCCGCCCAGGGCGGGGTCGACGCGTCTCGGGCACCCCCAGCCCGCGGTGCCCCGCCACCGCGCTCAGATGCCCCTCCCCGCCCGGCCCAGCGCGACCCCGCCCGCCTGTCCAGCCCCAGCGGGGCCCCCAGCCCTGCCCAGCTCCGAGGGTGTGTCCCAGCGACGGCGGGAGCCGGACGCAGGCGGGACTGCGGGCCCCGGACGCACCCCCGCGCCCCCCCCCGGCCCCTGACCACGCGAGGCAGGACGGGGGCTCCCAGCACGGCCACCCTCGCCCGTGCCAGCCAGACCGCGGGCGGCGCTGCTCAGCCGGAGGCTGGGGGCCGAGGGGGGACCGGCCTCTGGAAGTTAACTCCTCAGCTCCCCAAGTTGGGGGTGCGCAGCCCTAGGCGGTGCCTGGCCCCTCGGACAGACGCCGCGACCGAAAACCGCGGACAGCCGCTCCCCGCCCGGAGTCCCCCCACCCGGTCCCTGTCCGGCCCCGGGTCCTCCGCGAGCCCGGCGGCGGCGCTCACCGTGCGTTCCCGCGTCCAGGGCGCCCGCCCGCCGCTCCCGCCTCCGGCTCCGGCTCCGGCTGTGGCTCCCGCGCCCCCGGGCCGAGCGCGGGCCGCCGGGGCCGGCGGGGGTGGCTGGCGGCGGGGCGGCCCGAGGGCCGGAGCATCCTGGCGGTGGCCGCCGTGGCCGGAGCGTTCTGCTCGGCTCCGCTGACTCGGCCGCGGTCCCTCCCACCTTCCCCTCCCCGCGCCGTCACCGCCGCTGCGCTCCCGCCGCTCGCCGCTCGGCTGGCTGCGCCGGGGGCGGGGGCGGGGGCGGGGGCGGGGCAGGCCGCACGTCTCCGCGCCGCCCCTCGGCCGCCTCGCCCCCAACTCCCCGAGGCGCGGCCCGCAGTCGCGTCCGTCCCGGGGAGCGCAGCCCCCCAAAGCGCCGGGGCCGCGCCGGCCCATCGCCGCCCGCTTGGGCGGGTCCACGCTCCGGACCCTGACGCTGAACCCCCTGGGCCAGGAATGGATAGTGAGAACCTAGGCCCCGGGGTGGGAGGCTCACGGAGGCCTCCCTGGAGGAGGCCGCATCACAGGTGAACAATGGTGTGGAGAAGAGCAGCTGCAACTTCTAGGAACTGGGGAGCCGTTCAGGGCCAGGCACCGCGGTGCGATAGGCTGGGTTGGGCCAGCTGAGAATTCAGACACCCTCGGGCACTAGGGATCCACCCCAGAATCAAGTGAATGGAGCCAGGAAATGTTCTCAAACTGGGACTACTGACTGCGCAGCTAGGAGAGGCCAGGACCCCGCAACCAGCACCCCTGACCCCTGCTTCCCTCCTGCCCAGAGCTTCCCCATTAGTGCTCCTGAGGGGTACAGCTGCCACCCACAGGCTGGGGGACATCTGGGGATAACCCAGTTAGTCCCCTTGATGGGGGCCTCTGGAGACCCTTGAGTCCCGAGAGTGGCCACTGGCCTCCTGGCCTCCTGTCCAGGCAGAGGACCCGACCTGCCTCTTCAGGCCGCCTGTGACCACGCACACCCTGGGTAAAAGCCTCGGTGCCACTCGGGTCGGCCTGGCTCCGCACCACCTTGCCCAGGGGTCGGCAAACTCATTCGTCAACAGAGCCAAATATCAACAGTACGACGATTGAAATTTCTTTTGAGAGCCAAATTTTTAAAACTTAAACTATATAGGTAGGTACATTGTTATTAACTTAATTAGGGGATTCCTAAGGCTTAGGAAGAGCCACACTCAAGGGGCCAAAGAGCCGCATGTGGCTTGCGAGCCGCAGTTTGCCGACCACGGGCCTTGCCCGGTAGCTGGGACGTACCCGTGAGTGGCAGCCCTGTCTGGAGGAAGGCGGACACCTGCCCAGGACACTGCTCCACTGCCTCCCGGCTCCTGCCCGGGCCACGCCAGCCAGGTCCACACCCCTCAAGTAGCGAGAGAGTGAGGAGCAACTTCTAGGGGGCGGGGGGATGGGGGACTTAGAGTCAGTCCTCCGAGGCAGAATGAGGGTGTCTGTACAGGGAGGCTCCACAATGAAGTGGGACTGGGCAGGGGAGCCATGTGCTCCGTGTGTGTGGCTTCAGGGTGGACAGGCCCGCTCCCTGCCCCGGTGGCCCTGGTCATAACTTGGCCACCAGCAGGGGAGGCTGGCAGGGAGCATGACATTTCTAAGGCAAACGGGCGATCCAGTCCTCCCGAGCTGTGGGCCCCCTGGCTGCCCCAGTCCTGTGGCAGCAAGAGCCCCTCCACTGGCCCTGCCCCCCCGCTGTGGTCTAAGAGTGTCCCTGCCCAGGGCTCCCCTGCCCGGGGCACTGCCTTGGGAGGTGGTTGGGAGTGGCCAGGCCGAGGCTGAACTAGGGAGTGAGGCCAGGACCCCTTATGAAAGGATGTCAGTGCCCTGGGCCCGCCTTCCTCGGAAGCCCCAGAGCTCAGGCACCGTGGGTCCACGGGCAGGCTCTGGCTTCAGACCTTGGCTTGGCCAGCCCAGGCTGCCTGGGGAGACCTCCTTGCTCCTAGCCCAGGGCACTACCAGTCTTCAGGAGGTTGGCACAGGGCGTGGGTGGGGCTGGGGAGGCTCCAGGGGCTGAGCAGGGGTGGGGTAGCTATGGCCCTGTGGGGAGCGCGTCCCCCCCACCCTCCGGCTCCCAGGCAGGAAATAACCCGTCAGCGGGACTGGGGCCCAAGACAGATTCCGAAGCTCTTGGCCCGGGTTCTGCACATCTGGAGCCCAGTTCCTCTCGGGTCCATGGGAGCCTGTGCACAGCCCTGCTGGCGGGGTCTCCGTGTCCAGGCTTCAGGGACAAGCTGAGGGGGAACATCTTCCCAGGCTCCAGGATGCTGGTGGAGGAGCCTTTCTCAGCTGGTGGGACAGGCGGCGGCCCCCGCAGTGGCCTGGGCAGTTCATCTGGCCCGAGGCTGCTGGACCGGATGCAGACACAGATGCACACAGGTGTGCACGCAGGGCTGTGCACGCACACAAGCGCACACCCTCACACTGGTACCACTAACACACTGGCTCCCAGACCCTCACCCCACAGCCAGGCCAAACCTCCCCCCCACCCCATGGCTGGGGAGTTCCCACATGCGCCACAGGCCTGGCACAACCAGGAGGCTCCTTCCCGGAGTCCCTGCCTCTTGCTTCAGAGGCCACAGCTGGCTGAGCCCCGCTGCCCCTGCTCACGGCCTCCCCACCTCCTCACAACCCCGCCTCAGCTATGGGTGTCACCCTGCAGGAGCCAGGCAGACCTCGGGGCCAGGACATGGAACCAGGGCCCGGGGGAAGGGGTGCTCTCTCCAGCCAGCAAGTCCTCAGGGAGCGTGAGTGGGCGTTGCTGTGCCTGAGCGTCTGGGGCACCAGCAGGCACTGGCGGGCGGACGAGCCCAAGGAGCCCCAAGACAAAAGACCACCCAAGACCGAGGTCCGGCTGAACAGCAGCTTTATTAGTGAGGCTGGAGTCCTGACAGACCGCACTGTGCGGAGTGCTCCCCAGCGCCTGGGAGTGTGGGCCGGGACGATGCTGTGAGGACGACAATGGGATATATAAATAAAGCTTTGGTGTACACTCGGGAAGGCAGGTTAACACTGCGGGACAAACACTGCACACAACACCAGCTCTCAACGGGAAGTGGGTTTTGGCCAAGGGGGTAACTTCTAAGTGGTGGGGTGCTGGGGCTGCTCCGAGCCCAGCAGGGGAGGAGGCATCTAGGGCTGAGGATCCACCTGGCCCTGCCGCTTCGCCTTCATCTGCAGGTACCGCCCTTTGCCTTCCTCAAAGCGCTTCTTCTCGTCCTCGGTCTCGGGCTGTGGATCACACACAGAAACAGGCAGGTGAGAGACGCACGGAGCCCGGGGCCGTGGGCCTGCCCAGCTCCCCTGGCCGCCTGGGACCTCCCGGGCACCCAGCGAGGCCTGTCTGCCAGCCATGCCGCCTCGAAGGGCCAGGGTGCTTCCAGGGCAGAGCTCTGCAGAGGGGACACCAGGAGAGAAGACAACTGGGAACGCCTAACCGTGGGCACCCCCACATCACCATTCACACAGTGAACCCCACACCTGGTGCCTCTTGGTAATGAACTTGAGCTGGAGATGCTGCTGATATGAGCCATGGAGGGAGGGCCCAGAGCAGAGTGAGAGGAAGGGAAAGAGGGGCCCTGCTGGGGCCCCATGTTTGCTCCATCCCCAGGATGCCAGCTGCTGGCAGTCTCGGCCCCAAAGGACAGTGGGGACAGATACTGTGGCCATGTGGCCTTGAGAGGCCGTTTCATTGCACTGGAGCAGCCTGATGCTTTGTGGGCACGGATGCCCAGGAGGTGGCACCTCGGTCTGCGTCACCCTTCGCCTCTCCTTCCTGAGCAACTTGAGAAGCAGGGCCGCGTACTGAGGGGGCGGGGCCAACTGCCCAGCCGGGTGCAGGGGACGGTGCTGGTTCATGCCTGCTGACCTGGGGGAGGATGACCGGCGCCCCCTTTCATTCAGGAGTGGCCGGCTGCTCACTGCTGTGGCCCCTGGGCGGAGGCCCGCCTCCTGCCGCTCAGGCCGGGATTTAGGATTAAAGAGCCGTGCGGGTTCCCCTGGGAAGACACTTCCTTTCACCACAATGACACGGCCGGTGGCTATTTTCAGGCGCGAGGGTTTAAGACAAGAGCGATCCCCGTGGACAAGGAGGAGGACGCCACGTCAGGCTGGACCAAGCACTCCCCTGTCTCCTCAGAAACCGGCTCCTCAGGTCACCAGGGGGGAACCTTCAGAGCTGGCGCCTGGAGCCAATGAGCCCTGATATTTAATGGATGAGGGGCGAGCGCCTGCAGCTCTGGGGCCGCCCCGAGTCTCAGGAGCGCGCGTGGAAATGGCTTCCCAAGGCCCGTTCCTGCAGGTCCTCCTGCTGCTTGGGCTGACTTTTAAATATATATATATATATATATGTTTTTATTGATTTCAGGGAGAAGGGGGGGGGGGGGAGAGAAACATCAATGATGAGAGAGAATCATCATGCATCATGTGCCCTGACCGGGAATTGAACTGTGACCTCCTGGTTCATAGGTCGACGCTCAGGCACTGAGTCACGCGGGCCGGGCTGGCTTTTTTAAAAATGAAATTGGAGGCTCTGCAGTCTGATGTGAAACCACCCAGGGAAACAAACTTTCTCAGCTCGAGCAGCAGTGCTAAGGGGACAAGACCCCTGGGCTTCGGGGCCGGAGGACGCGGAGCCACCCCCCCAGGACATGGCCGGCGGCTCCAGGCCAGCGCAGGGCTCCTCCAGCTGCGGGCCCTGTCAGTGCAGGTCCTGGCCCAGGGTCTGAGGCTCAGACACAATTATTTTTTAAAATTTATTGATTTCAGAGAGGGAGGGAGAGGGAGAGAGAGAAACATCAATGATGAGAAAGAATCATTGATCGGCTGCCTCCTGCACATCCCACACTGGGGATCTAGCCCACAGCCTGGGCAGGAGCCCTGACGGGGAATTGAACTGTGACCTCCTGGTTCATAGGTTGACGCTCAACCACTGAGCCATGCGGTTGGGCTCAGACTCAATTCTAAGGAGCACCCAGGTAATGCGATGCGCTGGTCTGTGGACCACTTAGGGTCACGGGCCCTGCCCCTCTCATCCAACCCTGTCCCACATGGGGAACAGCTGCTGTGGCCAAGCATGCAAGGTCAAGGCCACTGGGCTAGGAAGGAAGGGTCCTCCCCTCCCCTGTGGCACCTGCATGTGTGGCTTCGGAAACGTGGCTCCCATCCCCCCACAGCAGCCAGAGGCAGGGCTCACAGAGCCGCGTGTCTGGCCCTTGCTTGGGGGGAGAAGGGGCTGCAGCGAAAGCTTCCTGCCTGCCGCGCAGAGGACCCCACTGTGGGCCGTGCATGTGGGTCCGGGGCTGGTGGGGGGTGGGGAGCTGGAGCACATGCTAGGGTTGCTCCTGCGGGCCCAGCCCCGGTGGGTGCGGGGGTTCTGGCGCAGGCTGGGTCCCGCTGGTGAGTCCCATCCCCGGGGCCGGAAAGAGCGCAAGAGGCTTGGGAAGAAGAGCACGTCTCCAAAGCAAGAGTGTGTGCCGGGGCTGCTGGGCAAGGCAGTGGGACCGGGCACAGCGCCGGACTCCTGCCAAGCCCTGCAGCCAGGCCCTGCCTGACGTGAGGGGCTGTTTCCCCAGCCCACGGGTTTTCCTGGCAACTGGGAGGCGTGGCATTCCAGCAAGGAATTTGATCCCCAAGTTCCCCGGGTCACCAGCCAGGTGCTCTGTGGCTCGAGGGAACTGGGAGGGGCTCCGGGCGGGTGGCGAATGGCCCTGCGGAGCTGATGTCATGAGCTTAGGAGCCGTCACCAGGGGTGCCCTGGACGGCGGGCAGGAGTCACCCATTGGAGGCGGGCTCCTCAGGGGGCAGGCAGCTGGCACTGGGCTGAGGAAGGGCTGCTGAGTCAGGAGAACCCAGGGGCCACCTCACTCTCTGCAGCCATCACTCTGTCCACCTGCCCATCGTCCGTCTGTCCACGCCATCCACTTTGGTTCTTTCCCTGAGGACATGTGTCACTCATGCACGTGTGTCCCCGACTCTGGACGGGACATGGAGCCATCCTGAGGGTCTGTGGCCAAATGGGCTTGGGCACCTGCATGCTGATGGCCCCTCACAATGAACACGGCCTCTGGGTCAAGGTTCTGAAAATCCTGAAGATAAACCTGCTTAACTTTGTTTAATCCACTTTCCCAACCTGACCTGGCCAGGGACCCCTCTCCTAAGGAACCCTTCTTGGGAAGTGCTCCCCACACGCTCCACCATCAGCCGGCCGAGTGGGCCCTCAAAGCTGGCCTCGCCCGCCCTGGGAGATGCCTGGACGGGCAGTGGCAGGCTCTGCCAGCCTCCAGAACTGGGTCACTTCTCACACAGGCCAACAGGGCAAGGCCAAGACCATCTGGGACCCCACACACCACAGACCTTCCTGGGGTGGCCTCTTCATTTTGCACCAGCCTAGTCCCCCCCCACAGGGCCAGCACGGGGAGACCACCAGCCTCCCCTACTTTCCTCTTCTGTAAAATGGGCCCGTGACCACCCCTCAGGTTGCCATGAGGACCAAAGTCCTCCTAGCTGTCCCTGTTTGACACCAGTAGTTAAAACTCAATGCAGCCCTGGCTGGTGTGGCTCAGTGGACAGAGCATTGACGTGTGGACGAAGGGTCCCGGGTTCTATTCCTGTCAAGGGCACATGCCCCGGGTTGTGGGCTTGATCCCCAATAGGGGGTGTGCAGGAGGCAGCTGATCCATGATTCTCTCTCATCATTGACATTTCTCTCTCTCTCTCCCTCTCCCTTCCTCTCTGACATCAATAAAAAACAAACGAACGAACACACCTCACTGCAAATGGCAGACTGCACGGTGCGTGAGTCTCTAGTAAAGCTGTTCTGAACCACGGCCCGTTGGAGGCCAGAGCACGCTCCTCAGTTACAGGCGTCAGAGGGAAGGTTGGGGGGCGGTGCCCCACCCCACCCCAGCAGAGGGGCCACCGGGTGGAGGGAATGCTCGCTCCATAAAACCAAGCACCATCTGCCCTCAGCCGAGCCTTCACTGCCTCCCTCCCCGTGTCCCCGCAGGCACGCGCCACCCGTGTGCGCAGGCACCGGGACCCGCCTCCGAGAGCAGATCTAACTGGGCAGGCTATGTACCCGCAGGGAGGTGCACCCGCATGGCCCCGGGACGAAGCACAGCAGGGGGGGGCGCGAGGGGCAGGTGCTGGGGGTTCCCGGGAAGGCCCTGACCCAGGGCCCCAGGGTCCTGTCAACAGCAAATGGCAGAGGCAGGGCCCGTAGGGAAACGAGCCCCCGGGCCAGCGTGCCAAGCCGTTCCCGTCTATAAGGTGAGAAGAGTGCCCCCCGCACCCCCGTCCGTGCGGACGGAGGACCGGGGAGAGCGCCCATGCGGCCCCAACAGGAGGCTTCAGCACGCGGGGGCCCAGGCAGCGGTTGGTGATCTGCCACTGGGGTGACCTCAGGAGACCCAGGGTCCTGGGGGTCTCCCCGCACACGAGGAACGCTGGTCCTGCAGCTGCCGCGAGCAGGAAGGCCCAAGCCCAGGCCGCGGCCACCGCCCAGTCCACCAGGGAGGCTAAGCCAATGACAAGAGCCCTTCTGCCCGAGAGACCCTGACCTTCGCCGTGTTTGGCGCCAGCTGCACAGACAGGACCGTCCGCCCTGGACGATGTGACCTGAGATTTGCTTCCAATGAGCCCGGGTGGGGAGGCGGGCCGCGGGCCCCGTGTTGATGACAACACAGTTCTCTTCTCTTCATTTATGTGTGTATGTGAATCCCTACAGTTCGTAGGGGAGGAAAGTCCACTAGACCCGTGGTCGGCAAACTGCGGCTCGCGAGCCACATGCAGCTCTTTGGCCCCTTGAGTGTAGCTCTTCCTAAACCTTAGGAGTACCCTAATTAAGTTCATAACAATGTACCTACCTATATAGTTTAAAAAACTTGGCTCTCAAAAGAAATTTCAATCGTTGTACTGTTGACATTTGGCTGTTGACTAATGAGTTTGCCGACCACGCGACTAGACCATGAGGGCAGATGCAGCCCTAGAAAGCCCGGCCTGGCCCCGGCCCCGGCAGAGGACATAAACTGGGGGCTGGGGAGCGTTCCCATGGGAGCTCGTGTCTGTAAGCAGGGGCGGCAGAGTGTGGGTCTGGGGTGAGCGAGGGCCCCGTTGCCCATCGGGGCTGTGCACCTGCAGGGTGGGCACCTCGCTCATCTGCTCTCGTCCCACCTGCTCCTGAAGCCCGCTCCCCACCAGACCACCCCAGCCGACTGGGCCACTCGCCCTCA